TCTGCTTTGATTGGTCAGCTTGTCGGCTCTATTGTGATTGGTCAACCGCTAAGAAATGTCCTGCCCCTTAGCCTATCATGTACAATGTGTTGGTACGCTGGCCAATAGAAGCTTGAGGGTTACACAGGGATGTGAATATGTTACGGAAGTAAAAAGCGGAGTCCAATCGAGGTGAAATCAAAAGTGAGGTAGCAGCAAGTGACAACATTAATAGTGTCTACATTTATCTCAACAGTGGCATTGAGTATATGAGTATTAAAAGCAGTTGAATGCAATAAAATGTGTAAATGTTGCGACACCTTTGAAAGCTATCATCATATTTTCTACAGAGTTATTTGAACATGTGAAATGTCTCTTTCTCCCCGATGAGGAGATCTGGCTGTGAGACCGTTCAGCATCACCTCATTCCTCATCATCCTCCGAGGAAACAAGGAGGAGGCGAATATGAGGCTCTAAATTATCCCTCTCCTTCTACCTCTTCCACATTCCTCTCCTCTTTCTTCTCTCCATCCGTCTCTCTTTCACTTCATTCCTGCTTTTTTTTTTGTCTCCCATTATACTCTGCCAGCCAGACTTTCGGGGCTTTGGGGTGTAACGCTGCAAGAGTCGGGTTGTAATAACACGGCTGTGATATGCTTGGACCTCATCTGGAGTCAGAGCTCCTGAGAGAGATGTGTGGAGAGGTGGATAAAGAAAAGGCAGGGGAGAGGGAAGGAGAAAGACAGACAGAGGGTAATAAAAGAGACAGAGGAACAGAGGAGAGACTGTGTGAGAGACAGAGCGGCTCTTGCTGGGCCCTGAAGACGTGTCTGAGTGTTTTATCTGGACCCGCTGGGCTCCCAGTGTGGAGCTTCAGTAGTTTTTAAACCTGCTGACCTCTCCAATCAAAACACAGCTCCTCTTCCAGCTGGAAAAAAAAAGAAGGAAACGCCAACCATCTCAATCCATTTTCATTGCTCACTGAAGGATTGCCACTGAAAGGGACATAAACACCACTTTACTTTAAAGAGGCATTTTAGGCAACCTTTTTCCAAAACATACCATCTGTCTTGGGGATACCTTTCCATTTACTTGTGGTAGCTACTGTTTTTAGTTTACAGACATTTTATCAGCTAAAAAATACTTCCTAAAATGGCGATCAAAAGGCAATACATGACCTCAGGTCTTTACGGATTATTGATCAAGCTTACATTACATATCACGGGACATCTCTATCCAACTAGCCGCCTTATTATTACAGGAATCTCCTACCCAATATCACGGTCACTTGATTTTAGTTTGAAACTGGAGCTTCCTTTAAATAAAAGTTTCTGAACCAGATTCAACTGTTCTTAGTGTTTCTGCCATGTGGTTTGCTTTTCATGTCCCATTTTCAAAAAGGCTTGGGAAGCTATAAAATATTGACATGCATGCACTACATTAAGAGTACATTTCGGCAACAATAACTTCATTATTATTTTTAAGATTGTATTTATATCTTCCCAAGCACCTGTGTGTCTGCACTTTTTAAATTCGTATTAAGTGTTACAGAAAGAAGGACAATGGCCTTAACCCGACTATAAGTGCTCATATCTTTTTAATTGTGTTTACAGAACCATATTTCTCTTGTCCAAAAAGTCAGTGATATGTTAAAGTTGTGAAGGTAGGAATGATGCAGCTATTTACACTTTATATTTGCTTAATTTGTATTTTGCTGTGTCCGTGTGCTCCTCTATATGTTATGGTGAGCGCTCATGTGACCGTGCAGCCATGTCTGCATGCTTTATGCATTGTATTGTTGAGCAGGAGGTCATTTAGTGATTTTTTAGTGAACCCATTCTCTTGATCTGTTCCCCTGCACATACTCTTCCTCCAGCCTCTGTCCTGCAGGTCTGTTGTATGAGGATGGCAACTTTTAGTGCACTTAAAACCTTCTCTCATGCAAGTCTTAAACTCCTGATTCCACTCCCACTCCTCACCTTGTGTCAGCAGGTCAGCTCTGATATTGATCCAAACAGAGTTGGACATCAGATCCGGCTGAATATGTATCCAGGGACCCATGTGGGTTCCTCAGCTCTGACGAGTAAACGTGTCAGTGAGCAGCCGGCTCTCCCTCTCGCCCTGCCTCGTCACATCGGACACGTTGAGAGGCCGCAGTTGGTGTTTGTTGTTTTAGGCTCGATTGTGCCGAGTCCTGGGCTGTGTCCACCTTCTCCCTCTGCCTCCGTTTATTTGACTTCTCCCAGGTTTAAATTGATTGTAGATACTTTCTTATGAGTTTTCAAACAGGGTCAATGAATGCTTTTGGAAACTTTTAAACTTTTTTTCTATCCCCTGGCTCCATTGCCCTGTCAGTTGTACAGTTCAAAACTGCATCAATACCTGCCTACATTTAATGCTATATTGTCTGAATTATATAACGTTGGACAGAGGGGCAGACTTAGTTTGATCTTTTGTTAATCATGTAACTGCACAATTTCCTTTGGCTCCTTTGATTTTGGACTTTGATGGAATGGTCCTGTTGGAGTGGACAGCTAGAATGGCGGTGTTTAAGAAAGGACTTTTTGTTTGTGAAGGAGACTCTCTAGAAGAAACGGCGCCTTAATGATGTACTTGAAGCGCTCTTGGGCCCCATGAAGGGACATTATTCACCATGGTGATCAGAGAAGGGGCGTGTCTTTGAACCAAATCTTTTTGGTGAGTGCTACCAAATGCAAATCGTGAGTAAATAGCGAAAATAAGGACAATGGCGGTAATCACTTATTGTTTGTGTTTCTTTTTTTCTTAAAATGTCATTCATTTAATTTGAAACACTTGTCTCTTACTTCTTACATTTTCCTCATGGTGATTGGATTTGTTTGGAGAGCATCCTCAAGCATGGGGTCTTTACAGCCAAATACACATAACTGGCATTTGGATTCTTATCTGCAGCAGAATAAACTATTAAGATTTTTAGATTTCCCCTAAATGCTCGGTGTAATAGAGCTTTACAAACTCTACAGACAGACTGAATTTAGGCTCAGTCAGTTCATTTGAGAGTGTTGTAAAGGAAAGGTGTCATGTGTTACTCCATTCAAGTAGATAAAAGTAGTGCCGTCTTAGGTTGTACGTTTTTTGGTGTTACGTGATTAATTAAATTCCTTCAGTTTTTTGGGGCTGCTTGTTCCTTTCTTGCAAGAAATTAATACTTGTATCCTGATTATTGAAACTCAAGCCAGTGTCGAGTGAGATTTTTCGAACAATTTCTTATTAAGTTTCATATATTTCTCCTAACTCTCCTAACCGCGAAACACTTTGGCATGGAACTGAAGACAATGGACTGAAAAGCAAGATAATTATGTCCTGTAACAGGAGTGTCTCAAATAATAAGTACTCATTTAAAAAGTCCCAAAGAAATGCGTTGAAGAAGTACTGACCCATCATTTTCCTGACATGAGGAACACAATGTTCCCTCTACGTGTCAGTTCACGTCATGGAACAGCTAACAAAATCAGAAAAAAAACATAATATCTAGAACATTGATCAGCTCGTGAGTGGATCAAAGCTCTTTTGAAAACACGTACAAAACTCTGTGAAAGAAGCCGTCTTTTGCAAGTTAAGATATTTGATTGTGCCATGACAGGTAGACGACCGCACTCTCCCCAAAAACTAACTTTTCCAGTTCTTCCCAGAGCTCAGTGATATCTTTGGCTGGCTTCTCCTTCCCTATTCACCTCTCTAGAGACTAGCCCTCGGTCCTCCTCCTACTTGTTTTCCCTCCAGCTGATGAAGATTTAAACACTGGCCTATTTAGACTAGTATCATGCTCTACAAATCACCAGGATAGGAGACCACATGTAACAGGCTCCGGTGAAAGTATGAAGGGATAGAAAGAGGGTCAGCGGTGACAAGACGAAGCCTCGGATTAGTGACCGCTGAAGGGCTTTATTGGTGATGATGATGAAGAGGAAATGTGTCTGGGTTTTAGTGTGTGAGAGAGTGGGGATTCGAGAAATGGTAAAAGTAGTTTCTAATTACAAAAGAAAACATTGGTTTGATGACCGCTGGCTGTTCAGCCTGAGGACCGTGCTCACTGTTCCAGGCAAAAAGAACAGGCTGTTAAACGCCTCAACTCATCTTACATACGACATCATTAAAAAAAAAAGTGTTGTTCTGTTTTGCATTTGGTTGTTTAAACATGTGGTGTTCAATAAACTTGCAGTTTCATAATTCCTACCACAGGGGTTCCACTCTTTCATATTTTATTTTGTAATGTGCCTGTAGTTCTTGCTTTGTCTCATTTGTCAAGTTTTCACCAACAGTCACATTTTAATCCTTGACATCAGAGGAACGACAATCATTTTCACTTATGGTGAACTTCTTAGCAGTTGCTTCTTTCCAGCAGTTACAGAGCAACGTTATTATTCATTTGGAGTCATATTTGTGTCCAGCTAGGCTCCAACTACAGTATGTCTGTGTTGTGTTTTCTGTTGATGGCAGTGTACAAGACATGGAAACAATGAGCTGAAACTCTCTGTACAGCTCTGTAAAACTGCAGATCCAGTATGGCTGTTGGAGGCATGATGTCAAAAGAGTGATACAGATATATCTTCGGAAAGTTAAATGCCCAAAAATGTATTTCCTAAATCAGTTCCTCACTTTGGCTGAAATGTTCTGACATGAACACATTATTATCTGCCAAAGTAGATTATTTCAAATAAGAGGTTTCTGCGTTTCTCACTTACTGGTTTAAAGGTAGCTGTGTTGATGTAGGATATGGTTTCATGTAATCCTCTGCAATACATATGAAATTGGTGGTTTGTTTGGTCACTGTCAATCAAATCTGATCAAACTACGCCCACATAATCCTGAGAAATCTGACTTTTAAAGAATCCAAATCATAACTAAAGGTGTTCTTACCTCACTGTTGCTCGTTCAGTCGTGAATATTTCGATTTGAAGTTTCTTACTCCATGATATAATTGATGACTTGTAAGACAACAGTTCCTCAGCTCTGTTTCTTTGTCCCTGTCCCCTGAACAGATGGGATGAACTGCATGAACAAGGACCACGGCTGTGCCCACATCTGCAGAGAGGCTCCAGGCAAGGGCGGGGTGTCGTGCGAGTGCCGTCCTGGCTTTGAGCTGAACAAAAACCAGAAAGACTGCATATGTACGTATCACACCTAACCTCAGTGTAACACCCCCCATGAGTGAATTGAGTAAGCATTTAACCGCTTTCTGGTTCCCTCGTCTTGAAGTCAATGTTTTTTTTTTAACATGTTTCTGGTTAGATGCTTGAAATAAGATCTTTGGTCAAAGTTGTTTTTGTTCTATGCCATCAAATACGCCATTAGATGGAATATCCTAAGCTTCCGTTAGTGTTAAAAATTCCGGGTTGCCCTTCAGAAATATGTCATCACTGCACCACTCTATTTAGTTGTCAATTCCTTTTTACAGTTCACATGGGATTAAGGTATTAACACTCTGTTTCTGATTTTATTGAGGTTACGTACTGGTGCAATGAAGGATCTTAACTGTTTTAATAATAAACATCTGTAATAGCAATGATGGACAAGATCCAGTAGGCCTTCAGGGGTAAATTATGAGGGCGGACATTTAATACCAAAATCAGTTAAGCGTTTCAGGCCAAGCCGAAGGTGCTGAAGGATTCAGTAGAGAGAGAATTCATGTCTCGAACTCCCCCCTCGCAGCTCCATCTCTGTTTCTCACTCTTCACGCCGAGCGCCTGCAGCCATGGAATTTAGGGCTGCTGTTTTTGAGGGGGGAAAAATAAGCTTTTAGTTACGATTTGTTTGGCATCACATCTTGTTCTCCTCTCAGACGGTGAGAGTGTAAAGATTGTGAAAGCCTCCGAAAGGGCTCTAATGTGTCACCTGCTGTGGTAATATTCCATTAGACGCCAGGGACCCGGTGCTGTGCCGGCCTGATGAGCACTGCGGCACAGGACATGATGGAAGAAATGCTAGCTTTATCCCCAAATCTTCCCTCCTTTCTCCTTATGCCCTCTTTTGTTCTGTTTCTCACATCCTCTCACGTCTTTACACCCTTTTTTTCTTTGTATTTCATCTCTCACCTCCTCTCTTCTCTTCATCTGAATAGTTTTCTATCCCTTTCCCACTGGAGAACTGTCAACGAGGCAAATTAGGAGGTTAAAAACTTGGAGGAATCACAAACTGTTGAAATAGTTTGAGTTAGACAAATCAATTCTGTTTACTATGGCAAACCCCATCTCAATAGTTTGTGGCCCGTTAAAAAGTACTTCTCAGTTGGCTGTTTTTACGGCCAAGTTTAAAGCTTTTTATTTTCTGCTGCGTAAGGGTTTGCAAGTACTCGAAAAAGCTCCAGGAAAGATCCTGCATTATGATCTCTTCTTTACAATTTTCTCCATATCTCTCCTCTATGGATGGATTCTCCTTCTCACCTTTCAACATCTTTTCTTATCCTTTTGTTGTTAGCTTATATATTTTCTCTTTCCCTCTTCCTTTTCCTCTTTTTGCCTTTTGACCTTGAGATTTCAAGGAAGTTGGGAACCTGTTTAAGAACAATTAAAATGCATGGAACCCAGTTTGAACTTACGGTGGACGATGGTCCCCTCACTTTATCAAAGTAGTGAATTAAACCCAAACCGCAATCTTTTCCTAACCCTAACCAGTCTGATTGTGTGTCTTAAGCTATCAAAAGCTTAAAACATGCAATTAAAAGATATGTTTTAAAAGTTGATTTTAGAAACAGAAGTGGTATTCCATTAAACCCTTAAATACTAAATATCAAAAGGTGCTTAGATATGATACAAACAATAGGACCTTACCTTTATATAGATTTTATATTACCAAAGAATTTCAAACACTATAAACATATTATTTTCAAAATGTTCTTATCCTCTCTTTCTTTGTCCCTCGCCCCATCTTTGTTCTCCCTTCTCCATCTTCCTTATACATCCTACTCTATCTAATTCTCCCTTTCTCCTGATCTTATTTCTGTTGCTCTGTAGTCCTCTCTTTTTACCATACGATAATACATTCAAGTCTGATTTATTTTGTTGCATCACAGCATTAAGAGCACTAACAAGGACATATATTTAAGAAACAGAGAAACAGACATTTAGGATAACATAACCATCACTGAAGACCATATTTTTAGGACCCTTTAACATAAATTGTCTGGCAATTAAATTTTTTCCAGCTACTCCTTGTTATTTTTTCCCGATTTTATTACACTCACCCTTTCTCTGTTTATCTCTCCTTGTCTCCTTAATTCACTCCTTCGTCTCTCTCATTGCATCCTTTTATGGCCCTCTCCCACCTGTCACCCCGAGCCATATATCCAATACAGCATCCATGTTGCGTCTTCGTTACTGCCCCCCCATATTGTTGTTAAAGCTAAATCAAGAATGAGTGGACCTTTTTAAAATTTCACGAGCCATGTTTTGCGCATGATATACAAGCCAGGAATGTGTGTGTGTTGTATTCAGTGACGTGTAACTATGGAAACGGCGGTTGCCAGCACACATGCGATGACACAGACACAGGGCCGGTGTGTGGCTGCCATCAGAAGTACGCCCTGCACTCAGACAGCAAGACCTGCATCGGTGAGTGACAACCAAGAAGTCTTCCCAGTTCTCACACACACACACACACACACACACACACACACACACACACACACACACACACACACACACACACACACACACCACACACACACACACACACACACCACACACACACACACACACACACACACACACACACACACACACACACACACACACACACACACACACACACACACACACACACACACACACACACAGCTGTTTGACTGTGACATCTGTTGTATGGTAGAAGGCCATGACCGTGTCGGTGTAGCACAGCTGATAAAAGAAGCAAAGTAACAGAATGTGGAAGTGTGTTCGGGGGTTGGAGTTGGACAGTTGAAAGATAGATCATCTCCGAGCTCCACAGCCATTCCTCTCTCCTTCCCTTGATACTGAGGGAAACAGCACTTTAACAGATTGATGCACACTGATTTACAGGTAGAATCAATCCCCAGTCATAAAAATGACATGGGTAACACTCAAGTGTGAGCTTGTCAGCGATAAAGAATAAGAATTAGACCTTATTAAATCAATCATTTTTCCAGGTTCTTGCCAACTTAATGCTGCATCAAACCTGCTAAGATACTCGTATTATGTTCAACCCAACAGAAACACGGTAGTGAGATTGTCAGTAGATTTAGAAAAGAACAAAATCCTTAAATCAACTATTAATGCAGAGTCACATTCAAATATGTGTTTTATTATCATGTTTATTTCAGGCTCAAAATGACAGTGATTGCTCTCAGTAGATGCAAACATTTTTAAAATAGCTGATTTGCATACTGAGAGCACCTTGTTTAAAATAAGACCATTTTTTTAACTACTTATCAAGGGTTATGATCTTCACCTTATCATACCCAAAGAGTCAACGTAGAAGCTCGATTGGGAACTGGGTGTTTGGGCTTTCTTGCCCTGAGCACAGCCTCTCAGGGTTTTCAGATTGTGAAGCTGTCGCACATCGGATATAAAGTCCGTAGAGGTGCGCTGCATTGCAAAAAGTCTCTTGAATGATCCATTGGAGCCATAACGTTATTCCTGTGTTACATGTTTGAAAGTGAGTTGCTTTTGAATGTATCAATACCCACTCTGATACCCCATTCCTCATGTCAGAACTCAGTTGACTCCACAACATGCTGAGGACATCCTAGCTCTCACATAATGGACATTGATTTTTGTCTTGCAATTGTTTTAATCGGTAACGGATAAATAAAAGCGTTCAAGGTAAGTGGAGTTCTTCATAACTGTTCTTTTCCGCCTTGTTTTTGCTGATATATATGTTATTAGTCTTTTGTAAAGTCTTACAGTAATTTCATCACCACATTTATGACCTTAGCCAGCCCACTGCAGCTGGTTCCAGTCACAGTGGTTGTAGTGTGGCCTCAAGGGCTGTAATATATGAAGCACATTGAAGGTGTTGATCAATTCTGCATCTTTGCATCCTCAAGTTAATAATTAAATCAGCAAGTAATCAAAGTTGTGCCCTAAATGAATTCATGTTTTTCCCCAAAAGTGATAACCTCCAGTTATTGTAGTGGTAGGAACTGAAGTTTTCCCCTACTGCCAGAATCGCTAACCCACCAAGATTATGGGTCACCTAATCTCTGCCAATTAGTGAGCTGCTTCAGTCCATGTGACTTTTGTTTACAAGCTGTGGTTCATTTGTAATTGGACAGCGAGATCCCAATGATCCAACAAAAGAAAAAGTCAACAATTCCTTGTGGTTTAAACCAAAGAAAACAAAGTGGAAGTGCGTTTAAACACATCGTTACATGTGAGATTGCAACCACCTGCACAACCAAACAACACACACTCATTCATGCTGTGAACTGAAAAACACAAACACACAGAATGATGTCAATGCTGTTGATAAAACCATGGACACACAATTATCTGACTTTGATGTGCTGTCCTTCCTGTTGTTCGTACACTGGAAACACCTCCCTCTGTCTCTATCAACACACGAGCAGTTTGCTGTGCTGCTAGGTTTTGACTGCCATTAACCCCTTTTTCTTTCCAGCTACTTTAAAGAAGAACACACCATCAAGGAAAAGGCTGCGAAGAAGAAGATACGATAAAAACGAGAGAGAACCCTCCCTTCTTTCCAAATGTCTTGTGTTTTTTCTCTCTATCTCTATTTGATTTGACGAGAGAAAGGTCTTCGGACTGGGTGTCCCAATTGCTCAATGGACCCACCTGTCCCCACCTTTCCTTTATTCTTTCTATATAGTGCTATCCCTCTGCTCCTCCGACCTCCTCCTCCTCTTCCTACTCCTCCTCCTTCTCCTCCTGCTGCTTCCTGATTGCCTGTCTTGTCTGAGCATCCATGTTAAAACTCAATTCAGGTGGATTGAAAGGATAAATCCTCAGTGCACAAGAGGAAAGACTGGCTCTGGGTGCTGTTGGGGTGGGGCGGTACGGTACGGGACGGGGGTCAGGGGGCCACGTGTTAGACTTTGTGGCTAAAAGCGGACATCTCAATTGCAGCCTGATCTTAAGTTAAGCTCCCTCATAAGCAAACCTAACCCTACTCCTCCTCCTCCTCCACCTCTCTCTCTACCTCCTCATCCTCCACCTCCCGAACACAAAAAAGCAAAGCAAGAACCACAAACCTGCCGACAACAACATCCCCATCCATCAGCCCCCTTCCTTGCTCCATACTCCCTGATAGAGAGGCAGGGGCTTGCACCGCTAACCCTTCTTTCTACTGCCTCTGTCCACTCACATGTGCCATATCGTCCAAGTGTCTGCCACCTCCTCTTTTACTAATCCGTCCAATCATATGTGTGTGTGTCTGCTTGTCCAGCTGCATGGGAGAGCCTGCCCTGCACTTGTATGGTTTCCCTTTTTTTTTTCTTTTTTTTTTTAATACCCTTTTTGGAATTGAATAACATTTTGTTTTTTCTTATTGTTGTTGTTTATAGTGACCCTGGTCCTTGTGTTGTTGTTTTTCCCAGTGCATCGGTGTTTACCATTCTCCTAGCTGTAGTAGATTAGCGTGGTTTAACTCTTCCCCCCTCCATGTCCTGTGGTCTGGCTCTCTAATCACTCCCCTCTCTGTGGGCCTCAGACCACTGCTTAGCCCTGTAGACTCTTTAGAAGTGAGTGGCAGGGACTCCTCTCTTCCCACCCCTTCTCAACCTGGCTCACACATCCACCCACACATTTTATCTCCCTCCGTGACAGATTTGTTCACACACTTAAGAAAGCAGACGCTCAAAAGCACACGGACTGGTATGCCCAAGCTCTCAATTCAACAATCACGCACACATTCATACAGCCACATTTCACTCGTTAGCCGAGCACCAGAAAGCCTCCATTCATCCCTGAGTGTACTTCAGAGAGTCCTCCACTATGTCCATCAAGCTCCCGAGAGGAGAGAGAGAAAACGGTAGCGGGACAGGGGAATGGAATGAACATTAATTACCCCCATATCCACCCCTCACCAACCTCAGGACTGAGTGTATACATCAAAGCCCAGTCCTATAGCGGCAAGTGGCGTCTATTCAAGAAGAGATGCTCATTCAGGCCCTAATGACTCAGGCCCAAATGAAAGGCCGCCTCCCTCCTCGCTAACGTAAAACCCACCATCCTCAACGCACCACATGCATGCCATCTTAACCCTTTCTACAACCATCGTCAGGGCCACCCTCCGACCTCAGCCCCCCCCCCCCCCGCTGCCCACATTTTGGATTGTGGTTCTTCCAGCGTTAACTGTTAAAGCCAGTTGTGATGTGTTCCATAGACAAACAGGCAACCAGCGCTGCCCCCAGACTACCCCCTCCTGCCTTTTTATTTCTCTGCATGCCCTCCCTGCACTGCCCCTTCAAACCCCATTTCTCAGTGTGTGCACCCCTTTGTCCCTCGTATAGCTCTCCCATTGTGGGCCATGATGGGACTGATTCTGCCTTTCCTTTTCTACCTCGCTATCTTTTTTTCTTCTCTGTTCATCATTTCACTCAAAAATCTTGTCATTGCTTGGTTGTTTGATCACTTCTCGCTGCTGTTCGACCTCTCGTCTTCCACCCCTTCACCTCTTTTTGTCATCATTACAACTTGGTTCCGTCTCTGTTCCAACATTTAAGACAGCTTGTCTTGGAAAGGTTGGACAAGTATCCTCCCCTCCCTTTCTTTCTCGTCTTCCTCCTCCATCCTAACGCAAGGGAATCATTGCTGAGAAAGTGTGGCTGTTTGATATGGAAGACAGAAACTCCATCTGCAAACAGTAACGTCAACATAAGATTTAAGATCCCCGTTAATGTTCACCCCAACCTCATTCCATCCCTAAAACCCCCACACCTCTAACCATCTTTTATTGGTTTACTTTTTCATGTAAGTCCTCAATCTCCTTCCCTCCCCACCTACCTTCTTGCCTATCTACCGCTTCATTTTGTGAGCTACACACTGATACCAATATTTCATTTATTTTGTTTTGTTCTTTTGTTTGCTCTGGGGGATTTATCATTTGTTTGGGGATTAACACTCTAACAGGGATTTTGGCGCTTCCTCATCGCTTCTTGCTTCTTGGCTTTGGTTTTTTTGCTCAAACACCAAGAGGGGCTGAAGGTCTGGTCATTTGGGCTTCTCATTAACCTGCTGCTCACTGTTTGTCCCCTTGTCACTTGTGTTTTAGAGAAAGATGAGGCTGCAATTGAGAGCTCTGAGTTCAATGCCACGTCAGTAGCTGATGTGGACAAGCGGGTGAAACGGCGGCTACTTATGGGTAACTCTTTTCTTCCTCTTTCTATGTGTTGCCATGGCGCTTGTGCTTGTATCCCCGACTCCATTCCTCTCCGTTCCTCCTCGTCCTCCTCTCTGTCTTTATTTTGTTAAAAAAAATTATTTTTGTAATCCGATGATGCCCACTGTGTCTCCCACAGTCCGTTTTGTTGCTTCTGTACCTTACGTGATGAAAACAAAGTGAAAGAAGTCCCTGTTTTCCTTTGAACTGGTCCTTCCTAAAACTACTAAAGGTTTTACTCGATGACTAACATTTACTTTCCATGTTGCACCTTAAGCCGCATTCACATGATTCGCTCTTTGCTCACTGTGAGGTTGGGTGCAGAGCCTTGCGGTGAAAGCACCAGATACGTTTCGTTTGTATGGGTACCTCCCTTGTTAGCTTGCGCCGCTTAGCACAGCTGTCATCTGATTGGTTGTGCATCAAAAAGTCAACAGCAATCAAGAACTGCTCGCAATTTCGTACGATTCGCGACGCTGAGGGTAGAAACACAACATCAACGACAGCACAGAGCCGTTTTACCGCTTGTCATGTGAAAGCAGCTTTACTGTACAATGTATGTGTTCCATTCCCCTAATAGACCACCAATGTTGTAAAATAACGTTCTGGACCAAGCTTGCCCCATGGTTGCCCCATAAACGTTTTACACTGTACTTGGCAGCCTATTCTCAAAACCACAATCTTCTGAAGGGGCAGTAAAGGCGAGCGAATCAAACCAACAGTCCCATGCTACCTTTGTTTTTAAGGATGGTTTTCAGGTTCGGTTTCTGCTGCTATTGATGAAAGGTGCGACATCGAGAACTTATACAAAAATAAACGAGATGGGCATTATTTGGTTTCTGAAGCACTGGACCCTGCCACTTTTCTTTTCAGATCTTCAACCCATCATTCCTCCCCTGCACCCCAATATCTGGAACTCCAAACTGATGTGCTGTACAGTCTGCAGTCAATTGATTTACAATTTTATTTCAGCAGGTTCCGGCCAATGTGGCTTGGAGGAAGAATGGAGAATTTGTTTTTCCTGATCTTTATTATACCTCTTTGTTCTTTTCTCTTCTCCTTTATTTACCTTGAATATAGAAGTCTCCTGACTCCACACTAAACCCTGTTTCACTTCCTGTTGTACCAGCATGTCACCTTTCCTGATGGTGCTCCTCTTGTAACCTCATTTACAACTTGCTGCAAATTACCCTGGAAAAATCCTGAGGTTTTTCTTTCAAATAAAACTGTCTACAATAGCACCTGCCTCAGTAGCACCTTTGGCAAGTCATGCAGTGTGAGAAAGGCTTTGAGGACACTGCCATCCAGATTCCCATTATCCAGTCTTTCTGAATGTTTTGATGTCTGAATCTCAGAACTGTCCACAAACAGAAACAAAAAACAAAGTCATGTTAGCCTAAACAGCCTAAACTTTGTTCAAGTTGGCCACTCAACATAGAAGTTGATAAATGTGAAACTTATATTCAGCTTGGTGGAAATTCATCATCATTTCCTGAAAGCTCCACTACACATCCTCAGCAATTTGCGGTTTCGACCCCTGAATAATTCAAATGTTACCACATTAAAGCTTGCAATTGATCTGGAAACCTTACCACGTTAAGGAAAATGAAATTAGAAAAATTACACAAATAATTCACATTACCAAGTTTGACCCTAAGTGCCTCCCATACATCCAGTACAGTTAAAGTTAGGGTTAGGGTTGGGGTTGGGGTTGGAATTGAATTGCATGGCAGTAAAAACGAAAAGAAAGCGGAGGCATTGTAGGAACAAATAGTGCTAACAATGTGAAACTGGCAGAGCGAATACTACCAAGAACATATGCCGTGTGTCGCACACATTATACAGAGGGTGATCACAGTTATTCTCTGTGACAGCCGCTTTGAAGATGCTTCAGCTAGGTGTCGGAAAATTGTTGGACTTCATGCCAATAATTAAGAAATCATTTAAACTAAGCTGAGATGTTCCAATAAAGCAAAATAAAAAAACAGCTTTTGATTATTCATGATTAATCACAGATTATTATTGTTATTATTACTTTTAATCAAGGGCCACCACTTACCCCAATATATTTGGATACTCAACCCTGAGGGAAGTTATCAGTGTGCATGAACAAACACATGTCCATGCCTGGGGTTGTTAAGAGCATAGAGTCCATCCCGATGCTCCACTGGCACCGCCTGAACAGCAGCAGCATGTTAGATTTGACATAGCTATCAGTCTGATTCCTCTGACACGAGGTGCTCCTGCCTGTGCACTCGCTGCCATCACACAGCACAGACAACGTGCCGATCAAGACAAATGGATCTGCGACCGGAGCTCTAATGAAAGGCGGTGGTGAGATAACGAAAGGAGAAACCTTGAGAGCAAGCCAGAAGGGAAATAGGACAGAAGGAGTGTGGGCGATCTGATGAAAAGTCATTCTGAGACATTTCATGACGTTGCTATTGAAGAGAATTCAGGAGCCAGGTGCTGCACATATGTGAACGAAGTGTCAAAAGAGAGACTCACTGGTGCTACATTGGCTCTGGACTCCAAATAAACCATCACCTCTGGACAGATGGAGCTAAGCTGATGTGTGTGTTTGTGTGTTCACAGTAGGTGTATCTATATAGCGGGATTGCAGGCCAGAGCTATGCTGACTGACAGCTGATTTAGATGCCAATCACGGGGCAAAAGGGGATCTTGTTGAGAGCTGACAGATGATCGTGCCCCTCTCACCTTTTTCCAACAGTTAGTGACTTGGCATGATGCTTTGGTACACACAGTGCACATAGTTTTCCCTCTCATGCTTTCCATCTTTAATCAATAGAACATGTGTCCTCTCTTGGAAAAAGTCAGCCGTTCCATGAGAAGACGACGGACATGTGTATCCATACAGTTTTTCCTCTCATTCCTCTTCCCCTTGCTGACATATTGTCATCCGTTAACATGCAGTTGCTGACCTTGTTCAATCGGCAAGAGGAGAGTTGTGTTGGGTTGCTTTCATTTTGGCAGCCTCCCCCTCTCCTGAAATCTTAACATTTTGCATCATCTTCTGAATATGCTGCCACCTTTTTCCTTTCTCCATTCAAATTGATTTCATCTTGAGTCAAAGCACCCAATGACTGGTCTTTATAGTCTAAAAATAAAAATCATAATAAAAAAATGAACATTATTACCTAATACTCACAGACAATATGTGAAATACATGCAACAGTAGCATTTCTAGAAACATTATCAAACATGTTCATCAAATAAAAGTGGAAATGGAAAAGTTGTGAACTGACTAAACTGTAAATTCCCTAGAATAGACATTGGGCCTTTTTTTAATTAATACCACCATATTTTGCTAAATACACTACACTCTTTTGCTAAGAGTAAGATAAGAACATTGATTCCAGTCATGTTTCTGTAAACAGATGCCAGCAAGCTATTAGCTAAGTTTAGCATATATACTAGATATACTGCTAGCCTGGCTCAATCTAAAATGTAACAAAGTCAGCCTACTTACATCTTATTCTTTACATATTGTCGTATTACAGAATATTTCTCGGACGGGTGACTTAATGGAGTCTTAATGTGAAGTAAGGTTTCTCTAGTAATAGTTTTGATGGTAACTTACAAGATGCTTGTCAGGGTTGAGTAAGCAGGCAGGACCCAAATGCAGATTTCCAAGAATAGTCCTTTATTCCAAGGTACAAAGTAGAAACACAGAACACTACCCTGTGACACACAGTCAACTACAAACAATGAACCAACAATGACAGACAGAAAAACCAGAACTAAAATACACACAAGACCAATCACACAAACAAGACACAGGTGAGGAGGGAGGAGAAAACACAGGGGCACCAGGTGAACACAATCGGGCAATCAGGCAAGACAGGGGTGAACACTTTTCAAAACAAAACAGGAAACAAAAGACAGAAAAAGACAAGAAAAAACCCAACACAGACAGATCGTAACAATGCTGGTATTTTGCAAGATGTTGAACTATTCATGTAATCTTTGCCACAATCACATATCATATATCAACATATATTACCTAAAATCCACATATGTGTCATTGCTTCAGTTACTCTGACACATAATCAGCCATTTCGAAATTGTAGCCTTCACATTGTGGACCGTGTCAACAGAGAATACCCCAACTTTTGCAAGTGTGGTGACATACTGAAAAAAACAAAACACCAAAGACTGATTTAACATTAAACACGATGAGTATGAGTTTAGAATCCATCATATGTGATTCCAGCCCTCATGACATCGAAGTAACAAGCAGATATATGCTGCGCACACACAAACACACACACACTCAGACAGGCTGGGATAGAAATATGCAGGGTTATATGGAGAGTGTAGAGGCTTGGAGAGGGGGCTGAGGGGGTTATAAGGGGCTTGTCCAGCACATCAATCAGGCCCGGCGGTGCGTCTGTGTTCCCCTTCTCAGTCTGGCCTGAGGCTGGGGTGCTGAGCAGGACTGTGCTCAACCCTCACCTAATGATAGGGCCAACTGTACTCTGTATAAATCACTCTGACCCTCAAACACCACCTCCACTCACATCAAGCCCACGCTCATGCACATGTACCTTAACACTAACACAAAAAGTCTTATTGACTGTATGCACCTGCGCAGGCATACAGCCTTTAACCTTAATTCTCACGCAGACGGACAGGGACCCGAGCTGGGGAGAGGAGATGGGACAGTTGTCTTCTGTTGTATCATACAGGACCAAACCCTGTCAGACAGACTGTTTAAATGAGGGTTACGGTTAGTGTCTACTTACAGCCTTCCCCTTTGCTGTTTTTCTACTTAAACACAAACTCTATGAAGCCTCCTGCAACATTTTTTTAAATAACTAATCCATTTAAGACAATACGGAGGATTAGGGTCTTTAAAGTCAGAATCCTGACAAAAACTTGTTGACAAACAAAATCAGAACTTTCAGTTTAATCTCAGAATTCTAAGGAAATTGTCAAATTTCTGAGATAAAAAGTCAAAATTCTGAGACTTTAATCTCAGAATTCTAAGAAAATCGTCAAATTTTCTGAGAAGAAAGTCTGAATTCTGGCAATAAAAGTCTACATTTTTAACTTTAATCTTCAAAAATTCACATGCGGCCCTTATCCTCCCTCGTAAGACAGTTCAGAATTACGAAATAGTTTGATATCTGGTCTCAGAACGTTCCCAGAGAGAACGAGACATGAAAAACATTGCGTGTGATGAACACAGAGCTTTCAAGGATAAACACAGCAAGGAACAAATGCAGGCTAGAAAACAGATTGATGCTGTTTGGAGCCACATGAAGAAACACAAACAAACCCACAAATACCTTCCTGTTTCTTGACAGAATGCTTTATGCTAATGAATTGACCTCTAGATGTGAATGTGTTTGCACGCCTGAAAAGGCTTTTCCTATTTCCTCACTTCTCCTACTGTAGTAGGCACACACAATCCTGCCACTTTAATTAAATGGGAAGAAGCTGCCAAAAAGGAGGGTAACGTCCCCGATTGACATGTTGCTGGAACAATCCTTTGAATTTCAAAAGCCAACTTTTGTTATGATGGTGTATTTATAAATGTGACCTGTTGGGTTTCAGATGGAGGTTTTAAAAGCCCAAGAACTAGTGGAATATCTCAACTCTTAGCCCTTGTACCTTCAGCAGCAAAATGTACAATTTTCTCTGAAATTATTGAAGTCAAACCCACCAATAACCAAACATTTACTAACTGAAACTTCCTTATTAGATGTAGTTTTATTAAATCCCTTTCAACAAACATGAGTCAACGTCAAATGTCAGCCTCCTCAGCACTTTTGGAGGCCCATTGGGAAAGTGTGTACCGAGCTTTGCTAAAGCAACAGCGGCTGGGCAGGTGAGCTAGAGTTACCATGAGCTGCTGTTTGTTTTGGGATCAGCTCAGGCAATATCCACAAGTCCCAGCAAACCTTTATCTGCGCCACGTACAAAAACATTTTTCTGGACTAAAATATATATACGCCGGTGCTGCCGAGAGTGTTCTAGACTTACAGCACTCAACCTTGCACTAACTTTATTTTTCCATCTACTTACATTAACCCTTTCCCTTTTTGTGTTAACGATGATTTCTTGTCACATTTTGAAACAGGACCAACCATTGAGCCAAATACTTTTTCACCTAAATATTTAATGTGACTTTCTGAGTTTATGAACACTGTATTATCTTTGTAAAAAAAAAAAATTGTCTTTGGAGTGTTGTGATGTGTTACACAAGAAAACGCAAGAAAACATTACTGTGCTTTTTTGTGTGTATTTTTCCACTGCATGAACCTTTTTCTCTCAACCCACATCCCCTTCAGTGTCCCTTGTTTCTTTTTGATGCTGTTTTAGAAGCAGGGGTCACATGTTAACACCCCCTTCTTCTCTTTCTCTTCCTCCATCTCTGTCCCGCCATCTGCAGAGACCTGCGCCGTGAACAATGGCGGCTGTGACAGGACATGCAAAGACACCGCCACAGGAGTGCGCTGCAGCTGCCCCGTGGGATTCACTCTGCAGCCCGATGGCAAAACCTGCAAAGGTCAGTAAATTGAACGTTTTCTGATGCCTTCAAGCCTGCTGTATGAGCAAAGGTCTACAGCTGCTGATCACTGAGCACTCTGGGCACTGTAAGCGTTTCAGTTACCTAGACCAAACCAAACCCCAGCCATCTGCTTCACTTCCAACTTCACAGAGCGTCGGTCGCGGTCACTGCCACAGTTTGTTGTTTTTGAATATGCCTCAGGGCTTTTTCTATGCTTCCACCAACCTGCCGCTGACGTCAATGACAGTGGTCCGAGGAGAAGGCTGCCGCAGCGTGGGCCAGAACTTCCCAAACATATAATTGTAGTGTTATGGCTTTCTTCTAAACAAACAGCCCCGCTCAATGAGGCCGACCCGTGGGTTCAAACACTGGCAGCAGTGCTTTATCTCCTCAGGGCGAAGCAGCAGTGAGAAGGTTGTGGACACCTGGCTATTGTCTTACCAAAGAATGAGAATAATTGTTATTGTCGAGTAGATTTACACTAACAAAGAATGTGCCTTGGCGTTTCGTGCATACAATAAACAATAAACCAATAAGATTAAATAAATAAGACACTATCAAGATACTATTACAAATAAAAACACAAAGAAAGTTTAGTGCGTCAAAAAATATTGGTTAATGTAGGAGGATATGCAAAAGTTCACAGTGACGATGATATGTACAATGTAATGAATATGTATTTCTGTATATAATCTGCCACATGTACAGTACATGTATGGTGCTGGATGCTACACCTCCTTCCTCCTCTCTGTATGGATATGGAGAGATGGAGTTGTGGGGCTCAACCATTTGACAGACGTGGTCAAGGAATCGTCACAGCAACAAGGTCATGTGACGTGACATGACTCTTTGCATGTCAGAATCTGCAGTCCTCGTGTGATCCGAGCGTGCTCTTTTTAAATTGTATAATACTGTATGTGTGTATGTTCTGGAGTGTGTTCTGCAGTGAGTGTCAGGCAGTTTGAGAATGTGGCATGTAAGTGTGTGAAATCCTGGAACCGGAGCTGTCTCAGGCATGGCACGCAGACGACGCATCGGCAAACTTTAAGATGTTTGAACAGTGAGGCCCACTGTGCCCAGCCACTCTCTTTCAGCCAGGACACACAGACAGCACCATCCAGCTGTAGATCGGCATATGTACTAAAGTAGACAAACAAGACAAATCAGTCGGCTCCTACTTTACCTAAACAAAAGGATGCAACATGATCATCATGATTATATTATCCTTTTACTTTCTTATCAAGCTTGAAAACACTTCTTCATTGCAAATGAAACGGGTCCTCACTAAAGGCTACTATGAATATAGTTTTGGTTAAGTTTATGCACGTTGTGTTCAGGGAAAGGTCATGCTTAGGGTTAGGGGCTAGGGTCAGGTAAGGGAACTTCATCCTTATGGTAACAATGATAAACTGTGAGTTAAATAGGTCATTTTATGCAAATGTTCAGGTTTCATATTAGTTTTGTGTGCCTCTACTATGATATGTTTACATGCTTTCGGTGCCTTAATTTTCTCATACTGCCTGTGCTGCAGCACCTCTTTCCCCCCTGGCTCGGTTGTGATTGGTCAACGGCTTAAGGATTTCCCGACCCTTAGCATATCACTTACAATGCGTTGGAGCACGTACCAATAGAAGCACGATTGTTTGTGACAAACTCCCACTGGAGGGAACTTTTGGATTATAGCCTTTGCAGACCGTTTACATCCATCCAGACCAACACTCCTTTACATGGAAATGTTTCGCTCAAACAGCCTGACTTTGATGAAGATTTCATGTGAGGACATATTTAAAATGTAAAAGCCATGTTCATGCGGCCATCCATTTGGCTCTAGCAACCCATATAGTAGTACTAGTAGTAGTATATAGTAGTCTACTGAAAGGCATGCTCGGATAACATGTCCACCGCTGCTCTGATGTCAGATTTAGGCCCGACACTTCCACTTTGTCTCCCCAGGTGATATGTGGTCTTGACAAAACCTAGCATTTACAGTGGTAGAAAAATGAAAAGTTTCCCCCTTTTTTTTGGGCTTGAGTTGAGTGGGGAAGATTGATAAGAGTGCAGTCCAGCTGTGCCCCGCCCACATAATTTGGATGTGGATCAGCCCCCAGGCTTCATAAATCCCAAAGCAGGGATCAGTGCAGAGAGACACAGAGCAGGCAGCGCACATCGATCAGTATCCATCACCCAGGAGGACTCGCACTCAAACTGATGCAAACTAAACACTTCTCTGTACACACACATTCTCTATGCTGTCCGACACCCTGCAATAATTCAGCTAGACCAAGACTGATGTGCTGTAGTACAAGTATAGACTGTCAACAAATCTTGGCTGTGGTTTAAGATGAACAAATAAATTAGAATTATGGGTTTACTGCCCTTATCCATTTTTTGGTTTCATCATTATGTATCACACTTTATATTTGCGGTATAATGCTGACAGTAAATGAGGGTGGATGGTGTGCAATAAAAGGTCCCATGGTTGGATTTGAATAACGGAAGTTGCGGTGAAATTGTCGGCCCCTTCAACCCCTACTCTAATGTATTCAAAAGGGGACCCATCTTGCTGTTAGATCAATGTGCTTTACTTCTTTCTTTCTTTATTGATGAGGACAGAATAACAGCATTCAGTCAATTCCAAGACCCGCAGTGCTAATCAATATATCCTGCTGAAGCCTATCTGTGTGTGTACATGTGTGGGTATGTAGCAGATCAGATGGCACATGTTATCACAGTTGTGTTGTGTATTGCACAGACTGTAGTATAAGTGCCGGCAGTTAGTAGTTTACTGAACATAGTAGTTAGCGGCTGGATAAGTGCCACGCTGTGAGGTGGTCTCATCTAATGTGCCACTAAATTGCTTGATAGAGGCAGACAGCTCCCTCTCCACCCGGCTCTCTCTCCCTGTCTGTATCTACCTTGCTTCAGAGCCAAGGGGATGTGCCCTGCCGTGCCTGTCTATCATAATCATTTCAATATAAACTATGTAGGGCATGTTTAAAACCCACCAGTCCGATAAACGCCCTTTCATCTGCGCTGACAGACGAGTCGGTTCAGCCTCTCACGATGACAGACACGCCGACTGGAGGAGGCATTTCATCACGGGGCTCTCGTGCCGACAACTGGGTGAGAGAGAGAGGGAGGGAGAGGGAGAGAGGAAGGAAAAAAGAGGTAGAGAAAAGGGAAGAAGATTTTTTTTCAAAAACAGTTACCAGATGTTTGATTAGAAGGTACACACCGGAGTATGGATGAGTTATTGTGTGTGTGTGCGTGTATGTGTGTGTGTGTGTGTGTGTGTGTGTGTGTGTGTGTGTGTGTGTGTGTGTGTGTGTGTGTGTGTGTGTGTGTGTGTGTATGTCACTCTCTGTGGGTTAATTAGCACACATTTAGTCGGTTGCATGTTAGTCGATATTTGGTGTACTTATAAGCTTAATGGAGTGTGTGTGTGTGTGTGTGTGTGTGTGTGTGTGTGTGTGTGTGTGTGTGTGTGTGTGTGTGTGTGTGTGTGTGTGTGGTGTGTGTGTGTGTGTGTGTGTGTGTGTGTGTTCTTGCAGTTGTATGAGTGTATCTGTGGATAGCGTGTGGTGCACACTGTGGCACCTGAAACACGTCCCCACTGGCCTGCATTCCTCTTCTACCTGAAAAGACCTGAAAGCACACAAACACATAGTCATATCAAACTAAGACAAGGACTTGATCATATCCACTTAGCAAGCAGCTAATAGTCTTCTAACAAAAGAATACCATGGCCACTAATGCATGTTAACAAACCCAGAGACGGTTGTCTGGTTCCAAATCCAAATAGATTTTTTTTTCTGGAGAATCCAAAAGTAAGTTAATTAATCTGGAGCTGTAATGTGGAGGAATTGGGACAAGCTACACGATTCCTGGACATCGCTACCTTTGGGGTAACACCTAATCCAGGACAAATGGCTACTGCACTCGTTCCCTTTAGTTGTGGTGGAGATGGAGGAAAGAATGTTTTGTCGAACCTTTCTTGAAGTTGCACAGAAATTGGCGCTAGCGGACACAGTCCCTACTGTAGGAACAGATGATGCTCGCAATATGATAGAGGCAGAGAGAATACCATACAAGCGTATATGTTGTATGGTGGTACAGTATGTGTTGCGCAAATTATACAGAGGGCAATCACAGCAGCTCTCTGGTTTGTCAAGGCTTTTTAATATTTAAGAAGTCCCAGAAAATGGTCAGACTTCATGCGAATATTTTGGAAATTATGTTACAATAGATAAAAAAAAAGTTCCGGTTTCTCTTACCAGTTTGTCCTTTTTTTATTGCATATTTGTTTATCTGTCTGTCCCTGTCGCATCAGTAAGGAGTCACAGTCATCAATTACCCCATCAGTGTCCACTTTCATCAACCGCACTGATCCTGTCATAGCGCCATGTTCTCCATCACCTTACATGACTGCGCCACGGCCAGGAGTCTTGGCTCTAGTCCAGGTCACTGGCTGTTTTATTGTTGTGTAAAACGGAGAGTTTCCCTTGGCCCACATGCCCCTGTGGAGCCGTTGTTATTAAACAGAATCACGTGCTTAGGTCTTTTAATACCTGAATAAATACACGCTACCTCCTGGCCTGATGTCTGCAACACCCAGCGAAGAAAACCAGCGCTCTCCAAAAAAACTAGATCCCCTGCACTAAGTCCATAATTATTTGTAGAGGTTTGGGTTTCTGCAAATGTATTCCATTTAATTGTTTTTTACTGCAAATATTTGGTAAAACTATATTTGGTAAAAGTCTTTGCTATGCAGCTCGTACCCTGGAGGTATGATTAGCACATTCCTACAAGTAAGTCTAAAAAAGGTTTAAGTGACAATTTAAGTTTTATTAGATGCCGGTTTCCGTCGATTCTTTCCATCGTTCTAGCCTCTTACATAACATCCTCACCCTGCGCTTGACCTCTATACGCCGGGGTCAGAGGTGAGAATTAGCGTTCATTTACTTTGCCCTTATTGCTGGCGGCTGTTTTAGGCGGCA